CGTGGATGCGGCGCATGCACACTTCGCATGCGCACACGCTCCAGCCGCCAGCCGGGAGTCCCCTGCTGCGGCTGAGTTCTCACTTGGCAACCCTATTTTAACTGTCTTTCTAATAAATACATGTATTTTTGAATATTATAAGCTTTAACTCAGTTTTTAATATTGGCCCTTTATTTGACTTCTTTCTCACCCTTGTGGTTCTTGATTCACTACGAAATCTCCAGGAATTTCTCAACCTAGATCTGGCGACCACATCCCCCACCAGGGGGACCTGGCGACACTAATTATATCCTTCCCAGCCCCAAACCCTGCCCTACCCAGGCTCCAACCCCATAATCTCCAGGAATTTCCCAACCTGGAGTTGGCAACCCTGTGTCCAAACCTTCCCAGGCCACGGTACCCCTGTTCCCTGCCCAAGTTCTGCCATTTGTACAATCATATGAAGCTGACTAACAGCATTAGTGCCACTCCAAGCAAACTGCCCACATACCTCGACATACTGCCCTTCCGACAGGCCTCTGTTGTGCATCCCTCATGCGACTCCAACGCGAGCCGTAACACATCCGGATTGTGGTAGGATGTGGATATTTCCCGTCTGGACACTCATATTTCAGTATAGTCCCTTCCTCCAGCCACGTGTAATTGCCCCCTAAAATCACCGCTTTCTGGGGGTCGCAGGCTCCATCAGTCGCACCTGGGAGGGAGTCAAGAGGAGTCGGGAAAGGGTTACGATCAGAATGGGCAGACACACCCCCTACTTGTTGATGCCGTGGGCCAGGCATCACTGTGGGTAACTGAGCAAACACTCTTGCTGCTGTAAGAACCACTTTCCCAGATGCCAGTCTGACACGTGAACCACTACACCACGCTTGCAGGCATAACCCATCAGAGCCGGGACGGGAGACTCAACTTTGGCCACCAGCTTCAGGATGCTTGTGGGGGCTCCATGGCCAATGGGAAAATCCTGGCCCAGGCGAGACAAACCACCACCACCACACTGTGCTATTTGCAACTGAAGGTCAGGGTCTCTATGGCAGGCATAACTCAGAAAATAATGCCGCGTGTTGGGAAATCGGCCACTAACCCCAGAATTATGATGGAAGTTAATCGTGCCAAAAATGAAAGGGACCAGAACACCCTGAACCAGGTTATCTTTGTAACAGACAACATGTAAAAAGAGAGCTTGTAAGCAGCCTGTCATGTGTCTCTAATATTCAGACCCCCAACCTGCCATGGAAGGTTGCTGGGTGACACATTCTCAGCCAGAACTACCTCACAAGGCTGTTTTGAGGATAAAATGGAGGCCAGGAGAACAATGCAGCTTTGGGCCCACACTGGGGAGAAAGAATGGGTATGACCTTTGTTATCATTCTAATTTTAGTGATATTTTAAAAATTACATCTGCTGTCATAGCAAAGTAGCCTTTACAAAGGGCTATCAGATCTTCCACCGTAAAAGGATGCTTCCGCCCTTCTCCACCCTTTACGTGCATGGTAATGGAACATAAATCTGTTTCAAGTCAAGTCAGCCTTTATTGGCATAAAAAATCTGTTTCAGTGGTTATGCATGTGGAACAGAAGTTACAACTCCCAGTTCAGGCACTGGATTGTTGATCATTATTACTGCTTTGTTAGAACATGGGGAAATATTAACTCTCCCCCCCCCCCTTCTGTTCATAATATTAACAAAGGTTTGCTACTATACTACTCTTTTTTCCCCCAAATAAATTTTTAGTTAAATATATAAAAAACCCAGACATAAACGTCAAGCACACACCCCACTCCCCATACAGAAAAACAACCTACAGTATACACATAACAACAAAGAAAAGCAAATGAGAGAGAGAGGGGGGGGGGGAAAAAAAACAAGCAAATTAAAGACATTGGTAGAGAGCTCAACATTCAGCATAAATACAGAGAGAAGGAATTCTTATTTTTTCTTTTCCTATAAACATGCATAATTCATATATAGTTACAACATGATTAAAATATATAGAGAGACTTATTTAACTTTATCCCATAATCTGAGGAAGGGCTTAAACATACTTTGGGTATTGTTCTGAGTTGTGTATAAAATAAAATCGTGCCACGTTTCAAAAAGTCTACAATTTTGGCTTTGGATTTGATTATTCTAATTTGATTTGTTAATTTTTCAGCTATTGCAATCTGCCATAACTCAGAACACCATACATGTAATGTTAATAATTCTGCGACTTTCCAACTTTTAGCAACTATCCTGCGTGTTGCCTTTAACATAAACACTATTAGTCCTTTAGAAGTCACCCTTTCATTTTGTTTCTCCCATATTGTTAATAGGGCCAAAGCTGGTGTAACACAGATGGTTTGTCGTGTAATTTTTGCAATTTCTGCAAAAAATTTCTCCCAGAATTGTGACACTACTGGGCATAGCCACCACATATGAATATAATCACCTTGCTGATTACACTTTCTCCAGCATTTTTTATTATTTGTGTTGGTTCTTCTTGCAAGGTGAACTGCGGTGAAATACCACCTGTGTAATAATTTAGAGTTCCATTTAATCCAAGTTTTTAGTGTAGTATATGTTGTCCTCCCTTACCCCTATGAATCATTGTTAGTCCCGTGTGTACATGAGTAACTGTAAATCGCTCAGAGCCAGCAGCTCTGCAGGATTGAGCGATTAATAAATCAAAATATTATTATTATTATTATTATTATTATTATTATTATTATTATTATTATTATTATTATTATTATTATTATTATTATTATTATTATTATTATTATTATTATTATTATTATTATTATTATTATTATTATTATTTGCCAGCAAGCTAGATCCCTTGATGTGATATATATGGGAAGTGTTTGAAAAAAGTAATTTAATTTTGGGAGTGCCGTCATTTTGATAGCGTTGATTCTACCCATGATTGTCAACTGTAACTGGGACCATCTTTTAATATCTCTTCTGATTTGTAGAAAAACCAAGTGGAAATTTAGCTGCTGTAATTTATTTAAATTCTTTGACATGGTGCACCAATATTCAGATATTTGAATGAAACCATGCCCTATTTATGCCCTATTTATTTTTAAACTCTCTTCTTTCCTGTTGGAAATGTGTTTATGTTTCTGAATTTCAGTGGCTTCCCTGTGTAATTTGACATGGTAATTGGATGTGTTTTCCAGCCTTTCAGTGTCTTGGAATAAGATACTGTGTCCTGTTTGAGTTAGGCTATATTCAGCCACTGCTGATTTTTCAGGTTGGCCCAGTCTGCAGTGTCTTTCATGTTCTTTTATTCTTGTCTGAATGCTATGCTGTGTAGTCCTGATGTAAACCTGTCCACAACTTTATGGTATGAAGTATACTCCTGTAGAAGTGAGGGGGTCTCTTCTGTCTTTTGCCGATTGTAGCATCTGTTGTATTTTTCTGGTGGGTCTGAATACTGTTTGTAGGTTGTGTTTTTTCATAAGTTTTCCCATCTCATCAGTGATTCTTTTGATATATGGCAAAAACACTTTTCCCGTGGGTTGTTTTACCTTTGGTTTAATTGCTCTTCTGATTTCATTCTTGGAATAGCCGTTTGCTTGAAGTGAGTGGTTTAGATGATTTAGTTCATCGTTGAGAAAGTGTGGATCGTTATTTACACAAAAACTCAAATCACCACCCTCGGCAAAAAAGAGGCATGATCAAAACATTAGTAGACCACACAAGACAGATATGTGAACTGCACTTTCTCAACAATGAACAAATCAGGTTTACATTGGGACCTGTCCTGAAAAACACAAAATGCCCTACATCTTACAATATTTTATTTATTTATATATTTATTCGATTTCTAGGCCGCCCTCCTCGCAAACAGGCTCAGGGCAGCTAACATCAGGGCACGCATGCCAGTACATAAAAACAAGATAAAACAATTAGTTACCAAATTTACAAAATAAAATGCTCCAAGATGGTCCAAGGTAACAGTCTTCCATGTAGTAGATGGTATCAGGAGGATATTTAAACAGATCTCAGTTCAGTGGTCTCCGTGCGCCATAGTGCTGCAGTTTGTTTGTCGCCGGGCCATTCCAATACCCCGCTGTTGCCAACTCGGTGGTGATAGTGGTGGTGGTGGCGGCTCCTAATCGAAAGCCTGGTGGAAGAGCTCCATCATATAGGCCCTGCGGAACTGTGCAAGGTCCTGCAGGGCCCTGATCTCTTCAAGGAGCTCATTCCACCAGGTAGGAGCCGCCACTGAAAAGGCCTTCACCCCAGTGACAGCAAGCCTGGCCTCTTTGGGACCTGGAGTCACCAGTAGATGTTGCGTCCCCGACTGTAGTGCCCTTGGGGGTATATATGGGGAAAGGCGGTCCCTCAGGTATGTCGGACCCTAGCCATATAGGGCATTAAAGGTAAGAACCAGCACTTAGAAGCAAATCCGGTATGCTATTGGCAGCCAGTGCAGCGCTTTCAGCACAGGGCGAATGTGCTCCCATCTAGGGAGGCGCATCAGGAGCCTGGCTGCAGCATTCTGCACTAGCTGCAGCTTCCGGGTTTGTAACAAAGGCAGCCCCCACATAAAAAACGTTACAGTAGTCTAACCTCGAGGTGACCGTTGCATGGATCACTGTGGCCAAGTCATCGCAGTCGAGAAAAGGAACCAACTGTCGAGCCAGCCTAAGATGGTAGAAGGTCGACCTGGCAGTGGCTGCCACCTGGGTCTCCATAGTTAAAGAGGAGTCCAGGAGCACTCCCAAACTCCTAACCTCCGACGCTGGCACCGAAGGCACCCTATTGAAGGTCGGGAGAGGGACCCCCAACCCCAAACCAGCGCGACTTAGGCCCAGGATTTAGCTTCGCCAGGTTTAGCTTCAGTTGGCTCAGCCTTAGCCAACCAGCCACGACTTGCAATGCCCGGTGTAGATCTTCTGGGGTGGAGTCCGACTGGCTGCCCAACATCATATAGAGCTGTGTGTCATCTGCATATTGATGACACCCAAGCCCATACCTCCGGGCAATCTGGGCAAGGGGGCGCATATAGATGTTAAACAACATCGGGGAGAGCACCGCCCCCTGAGGCACCCCGCATTCGAGCGGGTGTCTCCGGGACTGCTGTCCCCCAAGCGCCACCCTTTGTCCCCGACCTTGGAGAAAAGAGGTGAGCCATTGAAGGGCAAGCCCCTGTATCCCCACGTCAGCAATAGCTGTACAGATAAGATTAGAAGTTCAACAGCCAATCCATATGCAAAAGAACCTCCTCAGGAAAGCTTCTCCATTAGCATGTCACAGCCTGGGAAACTCCTACAAGATAATGACTCAGCCCTACCCCACCTTTCTGAGTAGATATAAATCACCCGTCTACCATTTTGCTTCTCACCTTGACATAGAGAGTGCTCCATCATTCTGTGTTACACCTCTGAGGATGCCAGTTATAGCTGCTGGCGAAATGTCGGGTCCTACAATGCCAACACCACGGCCATACAGCCCGGAAAATCTACAACTAATATCCCATTAAGCCCCTGTTAAAGCAGCAGAGCCCTGACCTGGATAGCCCAGGCTAGCTCAATCTCTGAAGCTAAGAAGGATTGGCCCTGGTTAGTATTTGGATGGGAGACAGGCCCGTAGCTACCATGGGGCCCACGGGGCCTGGCCCCCTAGTGGCTTTTATGGGCCCCTCCCCAAGCCGTCGCTCCCCCAGCCACCTCACTCTGATTGCCTGTTGGCAGGGAGGATGAGGGCAGCACAAGCAGTAGCAGTGGCAGCAGGGAGGCTGGGCTTAGAGAGCGGCCCAGGCAGGCAGCGAGCGTGAATGGCACAAGGAGAAGACTCCATCTTGGGCTTCCACTAGACGCTTGCTGTGCCGCCCGCCAGCAGCAGGTAAGCCCAGCCAGGCCAGGCAAGGAGGCAAGCCACCACCTCCTCTTGCCCCTGGAAGGCCCCTAGCTGAGCTCCATTGTGCCAACAAGCCCACACACAGTGCCACTGTGGCCAGCCCAGCCGCTGCGCGTTTCACCTCTCCCAGCCCTGGGAGGGAGCTGAGGGTGGATGTCAGGCTGCCCCTTGTGCTGCGCCACGGGAAGAAGAACTGGGGCTCCTGGGAAGGCCTGCCCTTGCCGGGGGGGGAGGGCTGTGTGTGTGGAGGGAAGCTACGGCTGCTGGGCATTACTCCTCCCTTGCCCTGGAGCCTGGGGCTACAGGGCTGCCTTAGGAGTTCTAAGGAGTTCCACCAATTAATTGGCTAGTGGGGCCCCCCAAGGCCCCCTCCCTCCAAAATCCCTAGGTATGGGTCTGATGGGAGACCACCAAGGAACACCAGGGTTGCGATGCAGAGGCAGGCAATGGCAAGCCATTCTCTTGCCTTGAAAACCCTATGGGGCTGCCATAAGCCGGCTGTGGCATGAGAGTATTAAAAAAACAAAGAGGCAGGACATTATTTTTGACACCCCTATACACCAGTTTGGTGTAGTGGTTAAGTGCGTGGGCTCTAATCTGGGAGAACCAGGTTTGATTCCCCACTCCTCCACTTGCACCTGGCTGGATGACCTTGGGCAAGTTTTAGCTCTGATCAGAGCTGTTCTTGAAAAAGAGCAGTTTCTGTCAAGAGCTCTCTCAGCCTCACCCACCTCACAGGGTGTCTGTTGTGGGGAGGGGAAGGGAAAGGAGTTTGTAAGCCGCTCTGAGACACCTTTGGGTAGTGAAGGGCGGGGTATAAATCCAATCTCTCTTCTTCTTCTTCTTCTTCTTCTTCTTCTTCTTCTTCTTCTTCTTCTTCTT